ATGTCATGTTTGCATAGTTTACTGTTTTATAAAATGTATTGCTGTGCTCTGCCCTACTGGAATTGAATTAAATTATGAAACTCAAGCTGGCACAGAAATAATGGACTGAGGGTGTATCCAACATTACATTCTTCCCACTCCTTCTAATAACAAATAAACCGAAATGTCATCTGGTTCCATTTTTTTGGAGGAAGTAGAGTGGTATAGAAAAGTCAGGAGGGGTTCTTTCATACTTTATAATACTCACATTGCAAGATGATGTAAAATTCTGAAATAACTTTTCCTGGCTGGAGGAATACTCAGAGGAAGATGTTTCAAATGTGACAAACAAGATCTCTTTTGATATGATTTTATTTCAAGCAAAAATTACACTGTGGAACTGTCAGTGCAGCTGCACATATAATTCAGGGCAGAAAACGTAGGAAATAAATCTTCACTTCAAAACAGAGATTGAGACCTTAAGATTAGGTTAGCCCCATGATGCTTTTCAGAACTCCTAGATTTTAAGTGGCTATCTCTTAGCTATTTTAAAAGTGGAAGGTTGCCTGCTCATATGCTGTCCTTCCTCATCTCTCCTAGCTAGCATGTCCTGCTTTTCCTACCATCAGCCTCTGCATATGAGATGATACTTGAACTTCTCAACCTAGTTTTGGATTCTTTTTCTGATTTATACAAGGGAAGAAGACCTAATTGAAAATTGATTATTTAATGTGTTACTGTGTGATATTTAACAGCCATTTCTGCAGTATTTAATAGAGAGTAAATATTTCACTTATCTGTCTTGGCTTTTGGAACCCAAATGTTTTAGTGTCTGGAGAATACTGAAATAGAGGTACTCAATATGCCTGAATACTTTCCCATTTTATCATGGAAACAACATTTTTAAATTTCTTGGAAGCATTTATGCTATATTTTAAGATAAATATAAGAAAGGTTGCATGTCAGATTTTAATTGCTTAGAAAAACTGTATGAGTTGTTTGAAATATTTATGTTGCTTGTAAATAAAGCACTGCTCATTAGTCGTGTTGTGATGAACTAAAACGAATTTAATCTATGAAGTGTAGCAAATTTATTCAGAAATAATGTATTAGAAAGCTGTAGTGGAGATTTCTTTCCTTGATTTTTCCAAATTACATGAAGTATGTTTAATTTCTCTTTCACTTTGAGAACAAAACAAAACAAAAAAAATCTGTGAAAGAACCACAGGGAGAATAAATGTTCTTAGAAGTCCCTTAGGAAGCTGTTCCACTGATTTCCATCATCAAGATGAAGGCCTACAGAATTTGGATCACAACCTGTTGATTGTGCTGCAGCCATCTCTGGAAAAATTGGCCATCTTTGTGTAGATTTCTCTTTCAGATTTTCATCTGAGTCTCTGGCTACCATGCATGCTACCGTACTAAACACATTATATCCTATCATAATTTGTACACTGGCATTGAAGAAGAATCTCCAGGAACATTTGAAATATGATACAGAGCAATTCTAGATGGCTAAAATTTGGGGCAAGATGGAGATGGCTGCATTCAATAAAGATATCAGAGATTTTGACTTAAGTGTGTGAAACATCGTAAATGAGTGATACATCATATGCACAGGTCAGGCTTTCACTTGGATGTATAAAATAAAATTGATTTTTTAACAAATTAAATGATCAATCAGCAAGTAAAGAACCCAATAGGAGCAATAACCTGTATCATCAGTTATATAGATATTTTTCCTCTTGAAGGAAGATTCTATCCTTACCTAAATGTAATAGAAGCTTTGCCAGCTGATCAGTTTTCACTCAAGAAGCAATTTCAAATCACCTTCACATTTTATCCAAATGAGCATTCATTTTAAAATAACTGCTCTAGAATTGAGGACATCTGATTCTGAACACTGTAAAATAGACATACTGTTACTGTGCATGTTTGAATTAGTTAACTCACGATCTTACTCCCAGGAATTTTTGCCTTTTTTATCATTGCAAATTCCTATAAATAGGCTTCATAATAATGTTTGAATATTTGTTCAAAATAATAAAGTGAAAAAAACAAAGTATTTAAAGGTTCTCTGTAGCTTGTTCAGAATCTGCAACTTTCATCCATATAGATTCCACTGCATTTAGGACATTATTTATTCTTGTGTTGCACTCTTTATTTTATAACTTTTTATATGAATAGTAAGTTGACTGATGAAAAGGAGGGTTGCTAACCCGTAAATGTAGAAAGAATTTTTCAAGTTCTAAATCCTGCTTGGTCGCAAAGAGAAGCAATAGTTGCTAATGTTAAAAATTAATCAGAGAAGCAGGTCAATATTTCCTTACACGTAGAAAAGAGTAATTAATGAGATAGGAAATGAACCATCTTGTTGAATTCACTGAAAATTAAAGAGGTATGAATCAGTTAGAATGACTGAAGCAAAACTAAAATGATAAAGAGTTTCAGGGTCACCACAGCAGACCGAGCGCTGCCTGCTGCTGTATGAGCCGATTTTCTGTCTTGTAAATTAATCAATTTTACAGATTGAGAGAATATTCATCTCCCATAATTTAACTGTTAAAAGTTAGTTTAAATTCAGGGTAGTCTCCCTAGGAACAGCTAACGGTGAATGAGAGAAAGAAGGCATTCTTTTAAACTGATTGCATTAAGGTAGGCAACATGAATTATTTCTTGAAGTTACATAACTGCCCACAATGGGCATCAGGACTTGGACTTCTAAAATGAGGAATTTTAGATTAGAGATCAATCCCAATCTTTGCTTATTGCTACAAACCAATTGGCGTTTGATTCTGCCAGCTTTGTTTCTCTGTTTTGGCAGGAGGGAAAAAAGAGCCATTTTTATTATTAAAAAATAATATTCAAGAAGTATATTTTCAAAGCACCAGTAGCATTACTCAATTTTAGAGTTACACATTGATTTAGTGTGTATTTTTTGACTGCAATGCTTAGATAACTTTTTAAGGATCGCTTTTTTAAATATACGAGATGGCTTTCTTGGAAACAGTAACATTTTAAGAAAAAAAACAAGCCCACAATAATGAATTAATAATTATGAATTATTATGAATTAATAATTATTAATTAATAATGAACCCACATAAATGAATTAGTTAATTATAAGAAAAAGGTTGAAAAGTTGGCCCTTGATACTTTAAGCTGCAGACAATTAGAAATTATGCTGTTGATTCTCTGGGTGCAGAATATGCTCTGCTGTACATTTTAGATTTTGATGAATTGTAATTGTTTAGTTTTGTGATGGTAACCAAGTTAAGTTTTTACAAATAAATGTAGTAGTTTCCTACATTCGTATTTATTTTAAAAACTAAATGGTGTTCTAATAGTTCTCTTATTCTGCGTTGTTGCTTTTTGGCTCTCTTTATAGATCATTTAAATAAAAATGAATTATACAAGAAGTTACAATAGATTTCTAGTCTAAAAAGTGAGCATTTTTGTTAATTTTATCTCTCTCATTTTATCCTAAGCCATTTGTTTTTCTATTCAAAAGCTAATCTGTTTTAGTTATATGTACTTTGAATTTGGTGCTCCACCAGGCCAGCATGGAACATCATTATGTTCATCAAAATGACAGCAGTCTCGTATTATGGTCAAATCTCTCACATCACTGAGAAGAGAAAGTGCTGATACTTCAGCAAAACATGATAGGAAAACAATTTCTCTATGCGGTTTGAATTATGGTTCCTAACCGTAAAATATAGCAATGAGTTTAATTAAGTTGGAAATCCATATAAATGTATATAAATTTATATACTTATGAATTTGTGTGTATATATATTTAACCGGGAAACAGAAAGGAAACATAATCCTGCTTTATCATCAGATCATCTTTCAAGAGGTAGGTCACCCATCTATCCAGAGATGCTGTGGTCATCTTCCAGCATAGTGAAATCTCCGTACACTGACATTTGAAACCACTGAGTTTGCTCCATGCAGACAGCATGATAAGGACCCATTCACCAGCATATTCAGGTTGAATACTAGGAAATATTTCTTCTCAGAAAGGGTGGTAATGTTTTGGAACTGATGGCTCAGGGAGGTGGTGGAGTCACCGTTCCCGGAGGTGCTCAAGAAACATGCAAATGTAATGCTGAGGATGTAGTTAGTGGGCAGAGTGTGGATAGGTCGATGGTGGGATAGATGGTCTTAGAGGTATTTTTGAACCTTCGTGATTCTATGAAAACCTTCACAAACTGCTGACACTCTGCAAATTTGCAGAATAATTCTGTTTTGTTTGAATAATTCTGTTTTTTCTATAGCAAAAGTGTCACATGTCTATGTGTTATGTTTCAAATTTTTACGGGGACAGAAGTTTTGCAAGAAATGGTGAACAATTTAAGAATATTTTGGATCAGATAGAGGAACAGCAAGATGATTCAGCCAGATTACAATGGCCCAACAACACCTTTATCTAAGACCATACTCTGAAATCAGTGGGAAAGACAATGTTAAGGGAATATGCAGAAATTACAAGTGGAAGAAGAAGAAGGAATATATGTCTCATTCCTTTACTGACTGAGTGGAGCATTGGTTTAGTTGCAAATCCATTAGCAGAAACAAGCACATATCCATTTACTTTCAGTCAAATTTGTTGATTAGCTATTTCCTTTTTTTAAGATGTTGCGTAAGTTTAGATCTTGTTTTAGTTGGAGTGCATTGGTGTGAACACTTGTGTAAAAATTCTCACAAATATAGACTAAGATGGTCAGAGGTAGCTGATGAATACACTGTACATAAACTCATTCACTTAGAAACTGATCCTACTTTTCAATTTTTTTGATGTCTTGATTATGCTTTAATTATCTTCCTACCTATAGATCTCTCTTTTGCCTATCTCCCACCATCCTGCTATTAGGAATTCCTGCCACTGGTGCATCATCTCACAGCAAGATTTGGCAATGAGACAATAAACATTGCAAAAACAATATGATATAATGTGTTTCCAACACTAAGCAAGATGAATACTTGGATTTTTCTTGACTTTTTGGTAACAGTAGCAGCCAGTTATACAAGGGTCCAGGAGGTAATCATGAGACGAGATGCAGGCAAAATAGTGTCAAATGGGAAGAGAGATTTCTGAAGGATAACTTAAAAGTGAGTACATGTACAGGTATTTACTTCAGAAGTTTTTCCTAAAACAAGTTGATTTCTGTTGCCTGCTGCTTTATTGTAAACAATGCAGAATGACACAGTGTGAATCTGTATAATTTGAACTGCCTTTATAAACATGCTGTAATTACTGATAGTAAAATTAGTCCCTAAGGAAAATAAAATCTGTAATAAGCACCTGAACAGATAATCCTAGTTTCTGCAATATATTTTTTAAAGAAAGGGAAAAAAAAAACACCAACCCTGTAATTAAAGGTCTGCTTGTCTGTCTGACTGATGTGAGGTACCACAGGTTTAGTGTACACATCCAAACACTGATCTCTCTTATAACTGAGGAGCTCATCTGCATGTGATTTGCCACAGTAGTTGAGTTGTTCCTGCACTGTTTGCTCAAGGTTCTTGTTACTTTTCTGATAATCTTTCAGAGTACAAAGCAGGCAAGAATAAAATATCTTTGAAGAAAGTGCTGAAGTTATTCTCATAGCAAAAGGCACTGGGCCAGTAACTACAGTCAGTTCTCATTAATTTTAGCTAAATTGAATATTGACTTCAACATTGTTTTTACAATGTCTCATCATTAAGTAATCTGTGAATATTGTTTTGTTTTTGTTTTGTTTTGTTTTCCAGTAGTAAGTTACAGTATGTGGATATAAGCAATGGCTATCTTGGAAGTATCAGTGGGAAGCAACTGCTTTCTTAAAAAAAGAGGGTGTTTCATTAACAAAAGGAGAATTTCTACCCAAAAGATTTAAATATGCTGGATGCTGTTTGTTTATTTGTTTGTTTTCAGTATTTTATTGAAACTAAGCGCACTGAATTTATTTCAGGTACCTTGTCTCACCAGGTTACCATTAAGTTACAGGCATTATGCAACCATCACAGCTATTTTATTCATACCATTGTGGGTTGGTGTACTCTTTCACTAATTAAATACTGATTTGTCAAAGTAACTGTCATTCATTCAAGCCAATATAAGTGCAATTGCCCGTACACTGCTGCCTCCTCAGCCCAGCTGATGCATATTCTGCTAAATGGGAAAACTGCCATCGGATGGACGTTTCCGAATGTGCGGATTCCCAGCCCTAGCGAGGTGCCAGGGAGATTGCATCCATCGCTGGAACACCCTGCTTTGGTGGCTCCACCTCTTCCTTTCGAGGAGAGCTGCCTGCCTGGTTTTGGAGCTCTGGCAAAAAGCCTGAGCTCATTGATTACGGATCACTGTTAATAAAGAGCATTTGTAATGCAGCAGTGGTGATACAATCTCCACACGCCAGTTCATGATGGCCCTTCAGTCTCTACAATTAAGTCGTCCAGCAGGCATGCCCCCTGTTGCAGCTGCTCTGTCAATCTCATTTTGTAGTACAAATGATCTTAGACCCAGTGTTTGACATGGGGTTTTAACACCAAAGAAGGCAATTCTGCAACTTCAAATGAGCCTAATTGGTTGTGCGCTCAGGCGTTCACTCAAGCTGCTTCAGTCCATCAGAGAGAGATTTCCAACTAATTGAACAGCTCAGAAGAAAAAGAACCACGGAAATCACAATGCACTGGGCCGATTGAGAGGGTTTTTTCTTGATAAAAACCTTCAAAATAAGATTTTTTTTTATTTTTTTTTATTTTTTGAGAAATCAGCCACCTGTCAATCTAAAAAGTGGTTTCATCGGTACAGAAATTCCTAATGAGGTATGGCCTAAAAATCAGGGTCTATTAATAGCAAACTCTACAGGTAATTGTACATTTGTGTAGAAAATGTTTATTTTGAATTGGCAATGTATTTTTCTTTAGACTGGAATGCTTTTCTTAAGGCATATAATAATTATGTGGTAATGGACAGACAGAGGAATGCCATTCAAGCCAATCTTAGCACTAAAGTGTGTAAAGTTATTCATGCGTACAAGTGTTGAGACTGGGCTGGGTGAGATTCTGCTCATGTAAGTATTTGCTTTTTTTTTTTTTTTAGCAGAGTTGAATTTAAATTAGAATGTTTGTTCTAGAAAATTATGAAGATATTTTCTCTTCTGAACTGTACCTTTTTTACCTCTTGTTTTCACTCTACTGATTTAAATAACTTCCGTTCCAAGGTCAAATCACAGAGACTTTTGCCCTGATGTTTACATATCGTATGTCTAATAATTCCATATCTATTCCACAAGTGACCCAAACATATAATTTATACAACATTTGTATTCGACATTTGAGGTAGTAGTCACATCTGAACTGATGACAGCTCAGCACCTACTTTTTGAAAAGAAATTACGAAAATAAAACTGACAGAATGATATGCATTTATTTCCTATTTAAATAGGAAGAACCCAAAGATTTTTCCTTCAGTAAATAATACATAACTTTATTTCAATAGGCTTTTTCTGGGAGGAGCTGATTAACTCTTTAATAAAGTGCTTCAACACCTGTTTAATTGTTAAGATAGTAACAATAATCCTCTGGTTCCAACTGCCAAACTGTCTTTGCCACTATTTGGATCTTGGTTGTATAGAGGGTTGAACCCATCTTTAAGTTCCTGTAGAATGTTCTATGCACATAGTCAGGGACAGTGCTTGCCCCTGTAATTTTTAAAGTTGTATGACATATACACATATATGTATGTGAGTGCTTTTATATACCTACACATGCATACAGACATAGCTATATAAATAGAAAATATAAACAAATTGTTCTAGGTTGTGAAAAATTCCTAAAGTTCTGAAGCTTGTGCTTGTACTTGCGTGTATTGCAGCAATGTTTATGCAATTAGACCATAAATTAATGGTATTTTCCAATAAAATAAAGTCTCAAGTGGCTGCAAGGAATGTAGAACTCCATGAAATCTAAGAGCATCCTTGACCAGCTAATTATGCCATCATTTATTGTTTGCCATGTTTAATGCCGAGTAGCAGTGAAGCCCAAAGTACCGAAGTCTCATAAATGCGTGTATGTTAGCATTTCACAGGCATTCATAGAAGTTGACAGCAACACCCCATTTGACTTCAGTAGGTACATAATCAAACGCTCCAGTTTCATGAGCAAAGAATGACTCCTGAGTTGTGCAGTGAAGAATAATATCTGCATGTTCATAATGTGCTTTTTCCAATCACTTGAGGTGTTTCTTGCTCCAGTGTTGAATCATTACTCAGAATTTTAAAATTCAAGCATATGTAAGAGGATATAAACATAACATGGTTACTTAGATAAAATATCCTTTTATTTCAGGAATATTTCCTAAATTAAATTAAAACATCATTATGTTTATCTCTCTGAGGAAGTAGTTCAGTGTAAACTATACCTCAAGAATATTTTTGTAAAATCTGAAGACTTGTACTGTACATATGATATCAAATGCACTTGTAATCCTATAGTAAAGACAGTAATTGCCAAGTGCTTTGTAGGTCCCCTAACAGTGGGATGGAGTTGTAGCTACAGGGATCGCTGTTGCTGAACTCAGCAAACAAACTGTCCATGTGATTCCAGATGTTTCTGTTTCTTTGGGGCAGGGGACCTCCCAGGATCAGAATGCCAGCATGTCTGAGGCAGAGAAGCCACCCTTTGACACTGGAAACTCAGTGGTCCTAACCCTAAAGCTCTGCAAGAAATTGAGTTGGATCCTCAGGAGCAGAGGGGCTAAACAGATCCATGTTGTCAGCTTCCTTAGCCAATTGCATCTGCCAAAAATCTCATGTTTGATTTGCACACACACAGTATATTTCCAAACTAAAAAAAGTAAAAAGAACTGAAAATCGTATGCAGAAAAACAGCTGTACTCATTTGTGCTGTTAACCAGCTGAGTCAGCCCCTGAATCGAGCCCTAATTAATTTGTGCACACGGTGTAGCCAACAAAGAGTGACAACAGACAGAAGAATGGACTGTGTTGAGGGGGCTTAGTCTCTAACAGAAAAGATGCCTGAGAAAGGGAGCTTGATGACAGCTAATTGCTGCCCAAAGGACCAAAATAATGGGCAGCCTGGGAGAGACAGAAAAAAGAAGGGGTTGGTGGAAGTAGTCATCAGGTGTTTGCAGTGATTAAGTTCATTGTCCACACTGTTTACTTTGGTGTTCAGCATTAATGTCCATTTGGAACTGGCACAGTAAGGAGCCTTGTTAAAATAATAAGATCTTAGTGTGCGATGTACTGATGGAGTCAGAACTCCACGCAAGTGCCCTTGTCACAGTGGATATTCAGTCTGAATGGCATGTAGGGTTCATGCGCTGGGAGCCTTGGAAAGAGCTGAATAGCCTGATGTTTTCACACCGCAGCTCTTGCAGACACTCAACATCTGCACTTAATACAACTTCCTCTAATGGCAACTGTTTAAGTGAGTGATGGCTGAGATTTTTTGCCCTTAAAGATTTGTTCAGTCTGTTAACATCCTGATTTTTTTTAATCGTGAATATATGGCAGAGTGCTACCAAACCACTAGTAGCTTAAACATTTTTCTGCACTATTTTCAAGTGCCTTTCTAGAGGTAGAAGATAAATATAGTTCTGTGGTTGCACCTAAAATTGTGAGGGTGAATGTTTAATATTTGATAAACATCTAGCTTATTATCCTAACCTTATGATTTCTTATACAAATGTGTTATTATTTGTTAAAAAAAAAACTTGCAACACTACTACTCTAGTCTGAGTGCATTGCCAGCAATAAGTGACACTGAAATTCAAGCATTGAAAACAGATGGACTGCGAAATCTGAACTCTGGTCTCATAACTGTATTTAATATTTTGCTTTGCACGTCTACTACAGACATATACTGTCAGAAAATTGCAGAACAGTGCCATTCTAGAAGAACAAGCAGCATTTCCAAACAAAATATATCTCTGTGATTAGAATGCAGAAAGAGTCATGAGAATGCCATACATAATGTATACATAGACACTGAACAATCCATGGAAACATGTTTATCCATATATAGACATATGAGTGATTTATTAACAATAAATGTCAGCAGTGGTTGATAATAGATGACGTAAGCTATCAGATATTTAAAATTTAATCCTTAAAAAAGAATAGCAAAAAAAAGAAAATCCTGTTGTTCATAGAGTTCCAGTAAGAAATAAGAGTGTAGACGAGTATGAAATAATGGTGCAAGGACTACCATCAACTAGCAAGAATGTTAATTCAAATCTAGCATAGTAAGACAATTTAAATCTACAGGATTGGAGAACTTATATCCACCATTTATAGAAGAAAACCAATGAATTTTCTCACTCATTTTTTCTTGATTTGAAAAAAAACATAGGTATAATGTCCTGACATTTTAAAAAAAAAAAGATAGTGTATTTTGTGTAATCAAGATGGCTAATCTTCTGAAGAAAGCCGTGGAAAATCTCATAACAGGCATAGGCAAATAACAAATTAAAACATGCTCACATAATCAATGCCAGACGATTAAGTTAGCTGTACTAACAAAAACAACATAAGGGCACAGTACTGTGTTGTATTATGGTTAAAAATAGTTTAATAAAAAATATTACAACGCCTGTATTGAAGAAATTAAACTGATCTTCAAACTCTAATTCCGAAAGGGAAACCTACACCCAAAGGTGGCAAAAAGTCTAGTTAGATTCTGCCAGTGACCTGTACCAATTTTCTGTTGTGGCCTAGATAATGAAATCATTGCTCATGAAATCATAATGATAATAATAATAATAATAATGACAATAAAACTCTGAGGAAAAGTTTGCCTGATAATTAATGTTCTAAGATTTCAGAATTTGCCTTCATTTCAAATAGGGAAGAAAAATTATAAATCTATATATTCTGTAATGAAGAAAAAATGTATCTGTATTTGACTATATTTACTTTAATTTTGCAGCATTAGACTTTTTTAACACCCAAACACCCTCCCACAAAAGTAAGTAAATTTAGAACAAGCAAGTAAAAAGTAATCGGAAAAGCATGTTCTGTGCTCTTGAGCTGTAAATCCCTGCATTGCCTTATAATTTTTCTTCCTGAGTTACATTCAAGAAAAATCCGTGTGATTTTGATTCCATCATTTTTACTCCATTTAGTACTGATAACATTGGAATACAAATTAGATCATGCACACCATATATGAGGCACTGATCTTGAATTAGATGACATGGAAGCCAATTCAGAGCCATGGTGAAGAATCAGCTAAATATTAACAATATGAACAAGTAGTATCAATTCAGGATTAAAAGAGAGCTAAAGAGGCAGTCTTGTTTAAAAAAATAAAAGAGAAAGAGAGAACAATTAAAAAAAACATGCAAAACCTACAGAAATTTTAGAAAAGTCAACAAAATGTAGACTGCTTTTAAGCTTTCCTTGCATAAGGTAAAGAAACAGAGCTTCGCTGAAAGAAGACATTTTGAAATTAGATAATTATTTAAACTAACACAATCTTTTCCAACATTTCACATCTCTCCAAACACAGTAATGCTGAAATTATGAAGCAGTGTCTCCTATTTATTTCAATGGAAACTGCAACAGATACAAAAAGCACAATAATACCATTTCATAGAGCAGATTCTCAGCTCCCAGACACTATTTTTCAACACAGTCACCACCATTAGCTATGCGGTTTTTTGCTGGTGATGAGAGCTTGCATGACGTGCTCTTAAAAATCTGTACCAGCAGAGGTGAACCACTGTCCCTGTTGCCACTGCTGAAACGCACTATCCACTGCCTCACTGCACTCCACTTTTCTGTTTCCTAAATGTTCAGCAAGTGTCAATGAATGCAGTATCTTTCCACATAGAGGAATTCAGTGGCACACCTTTCCGTCATATGCACTTCCATGTCAGATGCTACTTTGTCAGACTGCCCCTCTGCTGCCATCCGTCACATGACAACAAAATGTAATGGAATACTGGCAGGAAGATTCAGCCTCTACTGCCATATCACCAATATCCACCTCTGACATTGTGGGCCAAAGTAGTAAAAGAATTGGTATCATTTTTTGGAGCAGACTCCAAAAAATACATTAATATGGCTTGAAAATGGTCCTTGAAATAGTGACAAGCATAATTGTTGTACAACTTTGTCTGTAGGTCAGGCATGACCAGGACTAATCTCTAGCCCCAGCTGCAATTAGTAAAATACAAACTTGTTTTATAAAGCTAATCTCATCTGCATCACCAAGTTCATAGTCAGCCTGATGGATGCAGACTATAGCTTGTTTCCTCTCCTGAATGTATCAGCACACTGCTAGAATCTTGGACTGAAGTCTTGCCAAGAAAACAGATAACAGTTCAACAGGATGGAAAGATCTGGTCCTGGATAAGTTTACCAGGACACAGGTAATACCTTTGGTCACATTAAATAAACCTTCCTTTTCCTTCATTTTTATCCCATTTACTATCAATTTTCCTGTAATTAGAACTCACTTCTCCTCATGGCTGAAGACCAACAGGCTCAAAACAGTAAAGTAGTTCAGTTCTGCTCTAAAGTTTGTTGTTAACTTGGCTATTGAATTAACCTTTCTGCTTAACCAGAGTCCAAATGATAGAGATGTGAGGTGAGCTAGCTCTCCCATGGATAATCATTTTCAGCTAGTGACTACAGTGTGAACTTGGGCAAGGTTCCATACTGAGGGATGTGAACTGGGGCCACTGAGTTACCTCCCTTAGGTAATGAGAAAAATTAATTGCGATTTTGCACTCTTTGAGTGTTTTCTGTGAACAAATGTTGTACAGCTGCTGATTGTTTCTTTTATTAGATGGTAATAGTGTACTTTGTGGAAAAGAGGTAAACTGTTTTTGTTTTAGTAGATTTCAGTCATTTTTTTTTTGAATTACTGTTTATAAAGCATAGAGTGTTGTAAATCAGGCATAGGTGCTTAAGCCTCATACTGATAGTTTCCTTCTGCAGAAATCCTGCCAAATCCAGTCCTTACCTAAGGAATTTCTGTATTGTGAATTAATGTTAGTTGAAGTGGTATGCATTTCCCCTGTCACTGATATGGCTCCAAGCTCTCTCTACATGGGAGACCCCTAATCTTATAAGAGACTGAGATGTTTCCGTCTGCAAAGACCCAAATTGGTTTTACATCTGTCCTTCGACTGTCTTGGTTCAGCTTCAGTCCCCTGGGTATATTGAGCTTGGGCTTGGGCAGTGAACTTCCTCTCTCCTGCCATATTGAGGTGGTATCTAACACTTTGTACATTTCTGACTGTAAGATGGTCTTTTTTATGTGAATGTAATGGATGAGGACTCAGGGGCAAACGGTTGACCATTTCATAACACAGGCCCTGTGATATGCAAAGCTTTCATGGAATAAGGACATATGCTTGATTTCAACTCTGCACTCTCTGTCTGTTCTAATATCCTTTCAAATTGTGTGACAGGGTTGAGAGACACGGCAAGAGGAAAGTGCGTTAAGAGGTTTACAATAGTTCTCTCTTTTCCAGGAGCAATGTTAACAAGAAAAGACCATGTTGCTGGCACAGTCCCATAGTAGACAATAATCTCAGTCCTCTGGGATAGCAAGGGAATGAGACCCTTGAAGACTCAATGTCTTTTCTAAGAGTTACTTTTAATAGTCCAGCTAAAATGGCCAAACTGGCCAAATAATAGATCATTGCAAACCAGAAGTGTCCTACTTAAACTGTTATTTCTTGAATATTGCTTCTTCTGTTAAAAATACAAAAGTTTTGATTGTTCTCTTTCTGTTTAATCATCTTTTTCTATAGTTCTGATGCAAGCATTTATGAAACACTGGGTATTCTGTTTTCCAAAGCAACTTAGTGGCCAAGGCTTATAGATTGTAGTCCAGAGATTTTCTTGTTAAAAGCACCAAGGCTTTCAGTGGGAATACAAGCAATTATTTCTATGTATTGACATTTTAAATTCATAAATCTGGAAAGCAGTGAGATAATGAAAGGCTTAATTGTGATGGCTAGATAAACAAGTTACTGTTGAATAGAGGACAAATGTGTTTTTTTGCTGTGTTCTTCAATGTGATTTTCTTTCTCTGAAGACAATAATAATCATGTTGTTTTTAGTTATTTGGCACAGTTCACATCTTGATATATCAGATTTTCTCATTTTCTTGGCGTTTGCCTATTTAATACGTCTATTTTGGTGACTGATGCTGGAGATTTCTCTATCAAAATCTTTCATCTTGGTGGCAGTAAGAATGCAAAGCTCAGGTCTCTGCAACTCAACCCTGATCATAGGACTCGGAAAG